TCTCTCTCTCTCTCTCTCTCTCTCTCTCTCTCTCTCTCTCTCTCTCTCTCTCTCTCTCTGTGTGTGTGTGTGTGTGTGTGTGTGTGTGTGTGTGTGTGTGTGTACCTGGTTACACACACCGGTGAAGGCCAGAGGCTAACCTTAGTATCATTCCTTAGGTGACAGCCACCTTCCTTTTGATCTCCCTAGCCTGGTGCTTGTTGTTTAAAGATATACTGATTTGTTCATAAGCCTCAGGGATCTGCCTGACTCTGTGTCCTTAGCACTGGTGCTACAAGCGTGAGCCATTGCACCCGCTTTTATTTTGAGGTTCTAAGAATCAGACTCAGGTCCTCCTAATGTTTGCACGGCAGGCACTTTGCTGACTGAGCCGTCTCTCCAGCAGTCACTTTGTAACTATCCCTGCCCTGCCCACTCAAACGCAGCCTGACCCAACTTCACTTGGCTTGACTGTCTAGAGGAGAAAGGAAGGCAGATGTGTCTCTGAGACAGACCCAATTAAAGCAGAAAACTGTTACATTTTCTCTGGCACATCTAGGAGCCACCAAAATGGCGGGAAGCCTAGTTTCCCTGCGAGCAGTTTGTGTTATTTTAAATCTCAAATAATGATCTCTGTGTTTCTGCCTTCCTCCGATGCTTTTACAAGATCACATCTCAGCACACATCCTGCCTCTTACAAGGGAAAATGTTCCTGGGGGGTTATTTGAAGTGTGATTGTGTTTAAACACGCTGGCAAACAATGCCAGCTTTTATTAGCTTTATTTTGTTTTTAGTAAATGTTCTCTGGCTATCAGTGGCCCCGTTTTGTAATCAGTTTCAGGCTCCTTGAACATACAATGGATATTCTGAGTATCACATGGTATCGGAATAGGAACAGCCCAGAGCCTTACTCTTTCCATCTAGAGAATGGGACTTTGCCGTAAGACTCAACAGATACACTAAGGAAGGCCTCTGGCACTCACTTATTGGTAATTCACAAGTTTCTTCTTTCTTCCTTTTGTCTCAGAGTTGTCAGGGTATAAAACATAAAATGGAATACAGCTGGGGAGATGGCACCGTGGATAAAGCAAGTATGGGGGCTGGACTTCAAGCCAAATAGGCATGTTGTCCCAGCTCTGTAATCCAACCTTGAGTCCCAGCACTCATTCAAGAGGCAGAGACATGAGGCCTGGGGCAAGCTGGCTAGACTAGCCACTCAGTGTGCTCCAGGTTCCAAGTTCAACAAGAGACCCTGCCTCGGTAAATCAGACGTGAAGCCTGTCGGAGAGAGATGGCCAATGTCAAAGTCTATTGTCTATATGCACACAGCCTGTACATGTGAACATGCATACAGATATTTACATATATGTACTCATGTGTGTGTGTGTGTGTGTGTGTGCGTGCGTGTATGTGCAAATTACAGAATAAAGATCTCCACTTCCCATAAGAGGATGAAGAGAGACCAGAGGGAGATTGGACGTCAATGGGAGAGTGACTCAGGAAGTCACTGTGCCCAGAAACCAATGTGCTCGTGAGAAAGGTATCATTTATAAGTGTTACATGATGTTGTGTCACAGGAGAGGGAAGCAGAAGCAGGCTGTGAGGGAGGAGACTCCAGGAGTGAGGTGCTTCCAGACACAGCTTTATGTCACCTGGAGTGTTCTCGACTTCCCGTCTCCTCTTAAAACTCGGGATACAGTTTGCATACCGTAAATCTCACCCTCTTTGCAGTACAGTGGGCAGGGTGGTCTGTTTTTTATACCAGGCTTCCTTTATCTAACTCACCTCAACTGGTCAACTCCTGCTCTATGGAGTCTCTGTGCATAGCTGTTTGCGTGAGATTGCCCGAGTTCTACAACCAACCATTAGCACACAGGCTCAGCTGTGGTTTCTAAACTCCAAGGCTGGTATTTTCGTTAACCGTTGTCAGAGAGCCAAACACTTTTCAAAGGGCCATGAATTACCTACTGTACTTGTCTCAAGAAGATTTGGTGGGCCAACAAGTTGACTCAGATAAAAGTTCTTGCCTGATGACCCAAATTGGACGCTCTAAGATCTCCACAGGATGGAGAGAGAGAATCATCTCCCTCAAGTCGCCCTCTGACCTCCAGACATGCGCTGTGGTGTGTGTTTTATCCACATCTGTGCACCACCTGCCTACCTGGTGATGCCTGGTGCCCAAGGATGCTAAAAGAGGACATCAAATCTTCTGAACAGTTGTGAGCCACTGTGTGGGCGCTGTGACTCACACCCAAGTCCTCGGGAAAAACAGCCAGTGCTTTTAACCACTGAGTCATCTCTCCAGACCATAATTAACTTTTTAAAATTCCATTTTCAAAAGGAGTTTAGAGTTATTAACTAGAGGTGTCATTTCAAAATTACAGTATGAGAACTGAACAGCGAAAGTTTTGAGATAAAATAGCACTATAGAACCCACATTGGCCTCAGACTTGAAATCCTCTCCCCGTGCTGGGATTTAAAGCCTGTAACATCATTTCTAGCTCTGAAATTTTAAATTTTTTTTTAAAGAAGTAAATAGAAGAAGGAGGCATGTTTATCAACAGGCATTAGCTGATATATTAGTAATATTACTGCATTAAACCTAACTCCGAGTTTTGCCAACAAGGCCTGGCCTGCTGGCTCTGAGCCTGCTGGCCCCTGCCTTTCCATAGGACTGGCTCCATGGGGCTGAGGGAGCAGATCACCTCCAGTGAACAACCCTGAAGAAGCCAGGATGCTTATGGGGCACATATATCATGAGAAATGCCACGTACTCTTCTCATTTCAGGTTATAAAACTGAGACCGTGCCAAGAGTGGGCTCTGTGTTTATTAAAGCCATTTAGTAGCCATTGTTTGTGTCCTTCAGAGCTTGGTTTTAATTGGAAAGGCATTAGAACTGCTGTCCGTTGCTAAGCTATGAATTCTCCTTTTGTGTGTGACTTATTCTCAGGCTTGCTATTCGAAGAAGAAACAACGAATCTAATGTTAGTAAAACGGCTGGCTATTTGTATCACTTAGTTCTCCCTTAATAAGATGTTGTAAAATTATTTTAGCTGAAATATCAAAGCTTGGCACAGTTGAATCGGTTCAGTTTACTGATGTCATTATGCAACAGTTCAGATATCAGACATAAAAGCATGGCAGGCAGAGACTGATTGTTCAGGACGTGGTCAACCTGCCAACAGGCACAGCGTCAATGGACTGTAGGCTTGGAAGGAGTCCTTGAAGATCTCTAAGATTTTAAAAACAAATGGGCGATACAGTTCCCTTGAAACGTTTTCATGAAAGTTTAAAATAATAGTACCTGGGGCTGGAGAGATGCCTCCTTGGTTAAAAGCGGCTGCTCTTGCAGAGGGTCTGGGTCCAGTTCCCAGCATCCAATGGTAGCTGCACCAAGGTAGCTCAAGCTGTCCCTGACTCCAGTTCCAGGAGATCCAGCGCCCTCTTCTGGCCACTATGGGTCTAGATGTGCTCAGGGTACTTTTATACATGTAGACAAAAGCTCATACATATAAGATAGTAATAAGTAAATTTTCTAAATAATAACAGCCAGCACCTAACATCTTAAGAACCAGCATGGAACATCTGTAATTTTCAGACTTCATTAAGTGAGCCACTTTCTATATGGGAAGGTTTAGAATATTTAAAACAAATGAAACATCTTAGACTGCAGAGATGGTTCAGAAATTAAGAGCAAGTACTGCTCTTACAGAGGACCGGAGTTCAGTTCTCAGCTTCCATGACTCACAACTGCCTGTCACTCCATCTCCAGGGGTACCTGTACCTACACACACATGTATGCACCCCCCCACATGGACATA